AGTAACAGCTACAGCAGCAGGAATAGTAACAGCTACAGCAGCAGGAGTAGTAACAGCTACAGCAATAGGAGTAGCAGCAGCTACAGCAGTAGGAGTAGCAACAGCTACAGCAGTAGGAGTAGTAACAGCTACAGCAGTAGGAGTAGTAACAGCTACATCAGCAGGAGTAGTAACAGCTACAGCAGTAGGAGTAGTAGCAGCTACAGCAGCAGGAGTAGCAACAGCTACAGCAGTAGGAGTAGTAACAGCTACAGCAGCAGGAGTAGTAACAGCTACAGCAGCAGGAGTAGTAGCAGCTACAGCAGCAGGAGTAGCAACAGCTACAGCAGCAGGAGTAGTAGCAGCTACAGCAGTAGGAGTAGTAACAGCTGCAGCAGCAGCAGTAGTAACAGCTACAGCAGTAGGAGTAGTAGCAGCTACAGCAGCAGGAGTAGTAACAGCTGCAGAAGCAAGAGTAGCAACAGCTACAGCAGTAGGAGTAGTAACAGCTACAGCAGCAGCAGTAGTAACAGCTACAGCAGTAGGAGTAGTAGCAGCTACAACAGCAGGAGTAGCAGCAGTTACAGCAGGAGTAGTAGCAGCTACAGCAGCAGGAGTAGTAACAGCTACACGCAGCAGGAGTAGTAACAGCTGCAGCAGCAGGAGTAGTAACAGCGGCAGCAGTAGGAGTAGTAGCAGCTACAGCAGCAGGAGTAGTAACAGCTACAGCAGCAGGATTAGCAACAGCTACAGCAGCAGGAGTAGTAACAGCTACAGCAGCAGGAGTAGTGACAGCTGCATCAGCAGGAGTAGTAACAGCTACAGCAGTAGGAGTAGCAACAGCTACAGCAGCAGTAGTAGTAACAGCTACAGCAGCAGGAGTAGTAACAGCTACAGCAGCAGCAGTAGTAACAGCTACAGCAGCAGGAGTAGTAACAGCTACAGCAGCAGGAGTAGTGACAGCTGCATCAGCAGGAGTAGTAACAGCTACAGCAGTAGGAGTAGCAACAGCTACAGCAGCAGGAGTAGTAACAGCTGCAGCAGTAGGAGTAGTAACAGCTACAGCAGTAGGAGTAGTAGGAGTAGCAGCAGCTACAGCAGCAGTAGCAGCAGCTGCAGCAGCAGATACAGCAGTAGCTTCGGCAGTAGTAGCAGCTACAGCAGCAGTAGCTACAGGAGTAGGAGCAGCAGCAATAGTAGCAGCAGCTGCAGTGGCAGCAGCAGAAGCAGTTTGTGTTAAACGCTACAGAAGCATAATTATTGTAACCAGCTGTCGTAGCAGCAAAACAAGCAGGAATGTCAATAGCAGCAGCGGCATAAATGCTCAGCAGCAATAGCGGCAGGCAGCCGTGGCACGGCAGCCGCGACGGTGCTGTGAGTGCAGCGATGAATTATGAACGATTGGCTACGTACGGTGCGAAAGAAGTTCAACATACACACACCAAGGCCGTAATTATAATATATATTAGGGGGGACACATCCTTCTCTTAATATTCAAATATGCTCAAAATGTCCCCCCCCAATATATTGCTATAAAAATAATTGCTATGCTATGTAAATAAAATAACAATTTGCTAAATCTTGGCCACAATATCTGGACTTGTCTTCATATAAATCAATGCATAGATTTCTGTTTATATGATTGTGGTTATGGTTGTACTTTATTAATCCCTAATCTCTGTCATTACATACAATGAAACAAGAAATGGTAAAAAAGTAAAAACAGCAATGTAATATAATACACTATTAGACATTGTCAAAAACAAATAAAAGTCTATCCCATGTGTTAGTGAATTTTTTTATATTTTAGGCAGGAAATGAGTTTTCAAATGTATATATTTTTCTGGGTTGGGACCCCCAGACACCCTGGAAGATTTTGTCCCCCCCAATGTTGACTCCATGGCTACGGCCTTGACACACAGTGTACACACACACACAGTGTATACACACACAGTGTATACACACACAGTGTACACACACAGTGTATACACACACAGTGTATACACACACACACACAGTGTATACACACACACAGTGTATACACACACAGTATACACACACACAGTGTATACACACACAGTATACACACACACAGTGTACACACACACACAGTGTATACACACACAGTGTATACACACACACAGTGTACACACACAGTGTATACACACACAGTGTATACACACACACACAGTGTATACACACACAGTGTATACACACACACACAGTGTATACACACACACAGTGTCACTGTGTGTGTGTATACTATACACACACACAGTGACACTCGAGGGCGTAGGGGCCCCGCATCAGCACTCGGCAAACAGGCGGGCGGGCTCACGAGCGCCGATGGAGCTCAGTCTGGAGATGACCTGGCGAGGTCAGTGCCATTGGCACCCCCCCCCCCCAGCCTGCACTGGCACGCCGCCGTGCCCTGGACACGTGCGGCGCTTGTGTCGATCCACTGCTGGACAGGCGCGGTTCGCCAAACTCGGGGCGCCAGCAACTGGGCATGAGAAATAACACTGGTCAACAACATTTTTTTTTCTGGCCTGGACTTTTGCAGCTGTTTAAGACTCATTTCAGGGTGCTGATTCCAAATGTGATCTAAGATTTGCTCCATCACATCTAATTTTTATGCTATCGGCATACCCCATTTTCATTGATTTTACCCGAAATTAACTCTGTCACTTATGATTGCAAGTTGTTGCGAGTCAGTGACTGCTTTAGTGTTAAAATATGGTGCAGCATTTTTAGGATAGTGTGTTTATAATATAATTGTATGTAGATATCCACATTTATGTAAAATTTTTCTTATGCAGTTTTGATTGAAAATGCAATATTTGATATCTCAAAAACCTGATGTGATAGACAAAAACAGATGCCAGATTTGGAATCAGCACCCCAAAATGACATTAAACCCGTTGGAATACCTCATGCCAGAAAAGTGTGTTGACCAGTGTTATTTTTGTAATAAAAATTATTTTAAATAAATAGGTTGGTTGTGTTTTTTTTCCCCAAATAAATATACTGATTCTTTCGAAGTGAATTGCCTAATGAAGATAACATTTAAAGTTGTTCATATTAGAAACGGGTGGTGGCGAAGGCGTCCTCCGAGTGAGAGATTCCCCTCTTGATTCACTGCGATTCGCCTCCAGCGTTGTAGCCACGCCGCTTGAGACCCATTCAGGGTGGTGGAGAAGACGCCCGTGGCTGCGATGAGAGACAAAGTCATGACACGCGGTTGCAGCGTACGAAAAAATACAGCAGCTCACAGCTTTTGGCAGTGTCAAAGTGGTTGTGCAATGTGGACTTGAGGTTCATGGGGACAACATTTGAGTGCTTTGCTGTTTTGTTTCGTACTGTTTATAAATGCCTACCGTTGGTAGATAACACGGTTATATCACTTTCACGCGAAGGCCAATGACATGACGTGGTTGTTCTTCATTAGAACGACGTCTTTTCAGAGGTCACTCACGAGCCGCCGCTGCAGGCTGGACAAGGCCCTCCCGCGCTCACGTGGACCGTGTCGACGTTGTGGGTTTTACTCTCCAACACGCGGCCGGTGTGTGCTGAACTAGTGACGAATTGGCACGTTACGTTCACGTGGCAAACCTTACTAGTTGGCTGTGTCGGGTGGTAGCGGGTTTAACGACACATTCACATTTACGCGATCAAACCCAAACACCTCTAGTGTGGATGTTAAACTTCTTTCGCGCCGTACGTAGCCAACCGTGCTAATCGGGAGTTGTGCCATGTCGGACGCGGGGGTTATATGACCATACTTCGCCACGCTGGTCAGTGGGGGGTTGTGAATGCGGGGAGCAGAAACATTCCTAAAATATCTATAGCCCCAGCGCAGCCTTACAGAGCCGATAACACTTGCTGCAGAGTGGGCATCGCAAGGTCAACGATCAGAAATCGTAACGATTTGTTAAATTGTTGAATGGGCAAATCATTTGAGCGTATTAACCAATCACAAATCTGTCAACTCCTTATCAGTGCCTCCCTTGTTACAGACCAACTGAGACCGTATTGGTCACCCCGTGTCCCTTATAAATCTCAACGTTCATCCTACAAAGTCCCATCACAATGGAGAAACAAACAAATCGACAACAAATTAGATTTTTTTTGCCAGTATTGAAACGGTTGTACGCCATATGGACCTGAAAAATGTATTTCCCTGTACAATAATGCGGAGAAAACCGTATGGGTTGACAGGTAACCAGTCATAGAAAATCCTCGCCACGATGAAGCCCCCGGCACTTTGAGGGCAGTTGTGTAACCCACTTAAACCTCTGAGAGTTTTAACAGAATCTTCAGATCAAGTGGGGACCGGCAAAAACATTTTTAATTTAACCATGTGAGAACTCAAGTGACCAGGGGAGTCTCGCTTGCGAGAGTGACCTGGGTTTTTAAGTGCAGGTGTGACTCGTGGATGTGGGATTGTTATTTCTCTCTTGCCTAACCACTGCAAATGCTACTGGAACCCTTTGTACAGATCCATTAAAGTAAAAACAGTTCCCAGTTAGTGAGAGCTGGTTCATCAATCACCCAGTGACCGCTGTACATTACAGTTCATTCTGTCACGTGCAGTGGAGATAAGGAATTGGGTGCTCCACCCCAGATATTGGGTGGCGAGATGTTAACTACCTCGCCTGGAATGCAGGAGATCGTGGGTTCGATCCCGACCCTGACGCCTGTTGTATATGTGGAGTTTGCGTGTGCCTTTCTCCCCGTGGTCGCGTGGATTTTTCTCCGTGTTTTTCCTCCACATTTAGAATCAACGTGCGTTTAGAGTATTTCGCTGCTATACATTTCCACACGTGATAAGCCACTATCGTTGAGCTCAATAAAAAAAAAACAAGATAGTTTTATAGTTCGTTTACATGACACCAGCAGGGCTCCAACTTGGGTCGACTTTGCGCTTCGCTCAGGAGTAATAACCGTTCAGTCGTGGGAGGAATCTCGCTTAATGTGCCCCATGTCTCCCCGGACCACCATCCACCCCCCGTGTGACGCAGGCGCAAGGGGGAGCCTCCTCTGGTGCACTCGTGGATCCCCTTCTTTGGAAGAGTGGTCGAGTATTCCAAGTGCCCCCCCAAGTTCCTGCTGCGTCTTCAGAAGAAGCATGGGGACGTCTTCACCGTGCTCATACACGGTGCGCCATCCGCTTCTCCTCCTCCTCGTCTCTCTCTCTGCTCTCGGGGGCACACGGGCGCCCCAGCACCGTCGCTAACCCGTGCGTTGGTCGGGTCGTGGCCGCCCCCGGGGTTGTCGCTGGCTTCCAGCTCACGATGTCCGACGGTTTCGCTCCACGTTGCTGGGAGATCCTTCAAGAACCGAACCCGAAGAAGCTCTCTCCAGTTCGTGGGGGGGGGGGGGGGGCAAAACGTCGGACATCGCGCTGGTGGAAAACACACGGGTGTAGCTACGACACAGCAGCGCAACGTCGACGGACACCTGCGCAGTGGCATGCAGAGTGTGCGGCGTCCGCACAGCGGTCTCGTGGCCCTGGGGCCGCGTTGTGAGCACCACGCGCGGGTCACACAATCGCCCCCCCCCCCTTAACGTGTGCATGTTGAACTTCTTTCGCACCCTACGTAGCCAACCGTGCTAATCGGAGGTGCGGGGCGGGTCGGGGGCGGACAACAACAAAGTCGACAGCTTGAGGAGCGATGTGCTTCTGTCCCGCAGTGGCTCAGACACTGGGCCCGCACGTTACATAACACTCGTGTCGCGCGGGCCAATAACAGCGCCGCCGGCACTGTTACGACAGCTGCACCAGCACAAAGTGAAATATTAACTCAAAAGGGTGATACAAATAATATCCCCCCCCCCCCATACACCCCGTCACCTTTTGACCCTCGAGAGAGAGAAAACGAATACGGAGTGAAGCAATATCTGGAAGTGTGTCGCGGGTTTGCAAATTGGGTCTCCGACTAGACTTGCGCTCCGGTGCCATGTGACGAAAGCGGTGGGGGACAAAGCCACAGCCGTTGCTGGGGGTATTCTGGATGTGGTGGGCCAGGTGCGGGGATATTTGGCAGCACGCCGAGCCGGGCGGCGTTTCCCTCCCTCTGGGTTTCGTGGTGATCGCAACATTTTATTTAAAAACAAGTCACGGGTTAGTCTCTGGCCGCTGCGTGACCTGTGACTGTGACGTCCCTTGGTGATCTGTCACCATGAGCGGGGCGCGTACATTGGCGCATCAAACCTATCGATGCATGTCACCTCCTAAGTTCACGAAGTATGCACGTGTAAGAATCGATGGAGTTTTGACTTAAAACTTTCGTGACTGCAGGAATTAATATTTTTTGTTTGTTTCGGTAAAGTCACGTCGATAGAAACCACGACGTTTCGATCGCCTGATGACGACCGCTTGTGTTGCGATCGATACGTTGTGCTTTCTATCGACGTGACTTTACCGAAAGAACCAAAGAATATGAAATCAATGGAGTGTTTTTTTCTTTTCCTGGCACTCCGTATTGATTACAGCAACAGGTAGCAGAGTGCACAATTATACATCATATTCATCACAGGTAAGCTCACACCGACTACATTATTGATACATGTAATTTTTTAATATATATATGGGTGGAACGGTGGGCGCAGCGGATAGCGTTGCTCTCACTGCGAATCGAGCGGCCTGAGCTCCATCCCGGGCACGGCTAACACCAGTGGCGAGTAATATCTGCGCCACCCCTAATTACAATTTATGCGTAGCATCGGTCGACTTGGGATGGCGGCAGCTGCAAGTGTACTGTCGTTTCTCCTACTCACCAGCATCATAATCAGCCATTGTCTGTCCACTGTTGGATAAAGACCTCCGCATGCCGTCGCCATCCTTCACAGCCCAGCGCTGCGATCTCCGTGTTCGTGCGCCTGATACTGCCCGCTGTCGATAAGCAGATGATACATTAACGATTGCCTAAGCGTTATTTTAAACAGTTGTTTTTGTTGTGTGTCATGAAGTGAGACGAACGCATTTTCATTCGGAAACGTTTGCATTGAGCAGTGCAGCACCCTGTGTTGGAGGAAGGGCCCTTGAAAAATGGGGGTCACAGAACTACTTCTGAGGTCACTTCAGCAGGCCTCTCTATCCGCGCGAGCATCACATCTTTTTATGCACCACAAAGAGTTGTTCGTATGTCAATCAAACTGAATTGTTTGATTTTGATAGCTGATATTTCGACAAGTTAGAAGAAACCTCAAATCTTAATTACGTTTCGTTTAGAGCCGGTCATCGGGTGACTGGGCTGGACACATCGACTCGCTCACACTCGAGCACTTATCCAGCAGTGGATCTACAAACGGCCCGCACATCGACACATCTGCACGTCTCAAACGCGTCCACGTGGGCCACCGCCCCCGCCCCACCACCTCTGCCTCTTGACTCAATTTGTCGTCGTTTTCACAGGCAAATACTTCACCTTCCTGATGGACCCTCACATGTTCCCGTCGATCATCCGGCACGGGAAGCAGCTCAACTTCCACGAGTTCTCCTCCAAGTTCTCCTGCATCAACTTCGACCACCCCCACGTCGACGACCTCCTGTTGGGCGTGTGCAATGACGATCTGCTACGCCTATACACCTTCCTGCAGGTGAGGCCAGACCGTCGTTCCGTTTTTTGGGAAATCCGGGATTGTGCGGGCTGGTGATCAACGCGGAAGAGGGACGAAGCTTTGCGCTTGAAAACCTTGCGTGGCATGGTCAGCACGGCGACGTCTCCGTGACTTCACGGCACCCCCCCCCCGAACGGTTTCTGAAAGTGGTTCGTCCGAGCCGATGTTGGTTTTCAGGAAGTATGTTCTCGTTTTTGTATTCAGTCGTGTCGGTGTCATATTTTTGATTTCTCCTTTGACGCGTTCGTTGCCACTCCGATTTACATTCACATTACTTCACGGCCGCCACTCTTTTACTTTATTGCTTTCGTCACGCTGGCGACACGGCTCACTCTTGCAACTTCCCTGGTTTCTCGAGTTCTCACCTAGCTCAGTCAAACAAATTCAAACTTGGCCTCCACAACTCCCCGGATATTTCCCGCCCACCCCCCACCCCAACCCCGGCTCCGTCGTCCACGCAGGGCGCCGAGCTCACGAACGTGACCAACATCGTGATGGCGAAGCTGCAGCAGGTGGTCTTCCACGAGCTGAACGAGGCCTTGGTGGGCAGGACGGGCGGCGACGTCCACGGCTGGTGCACGGACTCCCTCTTCAGCTTCTGCCAACGCCTCATGTTCGAGGTGACCTTCGTGATGCTGTACGGCACCTCGGGGGACGCCGAGGCCGACCGCCGCCTCTGCAAGAGGCTGCAGGCGCACTTTGAGCCGTTCGACAAGGTGCTGCCGCTCATCTCAGCCGGGGTGCCCCTTTGGCTGCTGGGCTCCGCGAAGCACCACCGCGACGAGCTGAAGCGAGAGCTCACGCACGAGAAGCTGTCGCGCCGCCGCAACGTCTCCATTATCGTGCAGTCGAGGATGAGCGTGTGGGACGCGAACAAGAACATGCAGGACACCCACAAGGCAGGTGAGTGAGCGACTAGGTGCGGAATTTGTTCCAACGGTTGTGGTCATTTATTTTTTCGGGTTCGGCAAAGTAAACGATCTGACCAAATCCGTGTCGTCGAGATGACTCGCCGCCCCGACGCAGCCAGGCGTACTTAATTGTCGCGCGTGCAAATCGGTGCAGCCCACCGCCGGTAAGTTGTAGGAGCAATTCTCGCGACAGGTCTAGCGATTCGCTACAACGTTTCGGTTGAAACGAAGGTCTACCATTGTCAGATGGACTCGATCCAAGAAGTCGGAATTGTTCGTTGATTTACCGGCGTAGTTGAATGCTGGTATGCCGTTTAATTTTTTTAATTGGTTTTAATTAGTTTTAATTGCTTCATCTGTTTTCGTGTGGTGGAGGAGTCTTAACGGCACACAGTTGGCGAGATAATTTCGTGGCCTGACCCAAAAACGAATTGTGAATCATAATGTCGACTGTGAAAACTCAAGCGTTGCTTTCCTGAATCGGATGCTCCGTGGGTTGAACGGGAAGGTTTCACAGCTCCCCGAGGTGTTCTTGGCTTGTACCGCAATTGAATTTAGATGCTATATATGAATCCAAATTTCCTGGGTAAATATTTAACATTCATCTCTGTTGCAATTTTTTTTGTTAAAGGTGCTCAGCACTCGTACAGTATTTAGGCTCTTTCAGCATCTCCCGAAACCAAATAACATTGGCATATCACTTGTAGTTTAGGAATTTGGCAACAAACCACCGGAGTAGCTTCTTTTTAAAGAGATTATGTTGCTCGGGGCAATACGAGTTGCTAGTCTGAGTCCGGTCTCCAGTGACCTAAACAATATCACAACAAATGTGGTTCTGTACTTAATTTAGCAAATCTTCCAGCTCTGAAAGTTACATTTTTGCCAGTTGGAATGCCATTTGATAGAGTGGGTCGCCAACCCAACCAAACCTCTCCAAAAATCAATCCCTACTTACATGCACAAAGTAATAGGCCTTTCCGATGGGGTTTCAGGGTTGACTGTGCGCTGTTTGGCGTGATGTCCAACGTTCCGTTCCGCTTGCTTGAACGCAATCCAGGAGAACTGAGCTTTAATAAGCTCTCGGCACGTCCGACGAACGTCGGATCGCGTGCCGAACAGCCCACGGCAACAACCCGAAAACAACACGGAGAGCCGTGTGGCGGCACGGCCGCCAAAAACCTCATGGCAGCCGCCCGGCGTCTTCCCTGCCATGCGCTTCATGAATGCACACCGGTCTACCCAATCGCACCCCCCCCACCCCCGCCAACACCCCGCACAGGGCACCACCTGGCCTTCCTTTGGGGCTCCGTCGCCAACACGGTGCCCGCCATCTTCTGGAGCCTCTACCACCTCCTGCAGTGCCCCCTTGCGCAGCGGGCCCTGCGTGACGAGGTGGACGCCACCCTGGGGAAGAGCGGAGCGCCGCTTAAGCTGGGCTCCCCGCTGTGCCGCAGCCGTGAGGACCTCAACGCCATGCTCATGCTCGGTGGGTGTGGCGCGCCGACGGGGCGTGGAATTGTTTTTCGGATCGTTACGTACATATCTTGCGTACGTGCGTGTTGAACTTCTTTCGCACCGTATGTGGCCAAACGCGCTAATTCGGAGATGCGTTAATTGCCGAGCACGGGCCGGAAGGAGTATGCATCGTCACAGCTGTGAGTTCATCAGCAACGGTGGAGCCGATGAAGTTCCACTTCGACCACTCCACCTTGATCCCTCCACCTCGACCCCACCACCTTGATTCATTTACTGAAAACTAATTTATTTAGGACTGATTTTTGTACTTAGTTTGTTCTCCTTCCCCCTCACCACCGATTGGCACGGTTGCTACGTACGGTGCAAAGGAAGTTACATTTTCACATGTACATACAGAGCCGGCCCAGCCACTAAGCGACCCTTGCAATTGCAAAGGGCCCCGTGGCCAGCAGAGGGCCCCCTAGAGTTCACTGCTAGCTAGTGGGTGAAAAAAATCATACATCAAAGGGACCTCCAACCCAATTTTGCTTAGGGCCCCCAAAGGTCTAGGGCCGGTTCTGTGTACATACATCAACGTACATTGATTTCTCCTCCCGATCCCTTCTCTTTGACACCCCACCGCCCTGACCCCTGCCGCATGAACCCCGCCATGGAATCGGCGCATCAGGCAGCGCAGTGAACGAGAGCCTCCGCCTGACGAGCGCACCCATGAACATCCGCGTGGCCCTGGAGGACGTGGCCATCACGATGGACAGCGGCTTCACCCTGAAGCTCCGCAAGGGCGACAAGATCTCCTTCTCACTGCAGACGCTGCACACCGACCCGGACATCTACGAGCAGCCTGAGGTGCCACCCCACCGCTGCTGAATGAGTGCCGTGGCCGTTGGGTGTCTGTGGTCTGTGGAGGAGTGTTGGTGGATGAGCGGTGCGTTGAGTGTCTGTGGAGGAGTATTGGTGGATGAGCGATGCGTTGAGTGTTGGTGTTTTTTAAGGAGTGATTCACGCGTTGAGATGGACTCTCATCCATTCACCTACACCGTGCAGTTCATCCGCCTGTTGGCTTTTGCGGACCAACACTTTTTGTGCGACGTTTGCTTACAATTCGGCTTCTCCGAGTGGGGGGGGAGAGGGGGGAATAGCCGTGTGACCCCTTCCCGTCGGCGTGACGTCGCCCTCCATCGTCTCCCCAGGTCTACAAGTTCGACCGCTTTGTGCAAGATGGCAAGGAGAAGACCACCTTCTACAAGAACGGGCGGCGCCTCCAGCAGTACCTCATGCCCTTCGGCTCCGGCAACAGCATTTGCCCCGGCCGCTTCCTAGCCCTGACCGAGGTCAAGGACTTCATCTTCCACTTGCTCGCCCTGCTGGACTTGGAGCTGTTGCCCGGCCAGCCGGACGTCGGCATGGACATGAGCCGCGTGGGCATGGGCCTGTTGACCCCCAAGCGCGACGTCCTCTTCCGTTACAGACTGCGTTCGCACGTCGGTTCGGCCGCCGCCTGAGCCTGCACGCAAAGGGGACCATGGGAGGTCGTGCCACCAGGCCGTGTTCTCTGCTCGTCTCCCCTCCACCTTGGCACGGAGAGTGATAGAGAATCTCGGGTGGGCAGATGGGGGCGTGTCCCCGACCGGCAGTAATGCTCTCTCCCTCTCTGTCTTTCTCTCTGTCTCTCGCTCTTTTGCCTTTTTTATTCTTCTTCCCGTAGGTGTGTATCAGTCACGGCGCTTGCCCGGGTTGCTTTCATCGTGCGCAGTCAGACGAGGGTTCATTCTGACCGATATGAATGTAAGACCTTCAGTACTGATAATGAACTATGTACACCCTTTGACCTAGGTAAAAAAGTGACTAGAAACAGGTTATGCTACCATTCCATTACTAGAGGGAAGCGTTTTATAAATGTCGAATGCAGTCAATACTCGCCCATCTTCCGGAGAGGGTGAATATACATCTAAACTGCAATAGTCAACATAAGACACATATGAGGCATAAGATGTAACAGGACAAAGATGGTTGAGGGCAAAAGTCTTACGTGGCTTCAGTTTGCTCATTTTTATGAAGGAATAAAGATGAAGCTCGCGTGTAGGAAGAAGGGTTGGTCCCAGCTTATATTACATAACATTCACGATCTGTCTAGGGCAGTGGTTCTTAGCCTGGCGTGTGTGCACCCCCTGGGGGTGAGAGATGCCCTTTCTGGGGGTGCTAGAGACGGACAGATTTGTTTAGAAGATAAGTCATTGGAACACAAATGAAACACGGTCACGTAAGTACAACTACTTTAAAAAAAATCAAACGTGTGTACTTATTAACATGTTTTTTTTACGATTGAGAACCAAAGGGTGCAAGGCTGCAGTATAGGTTAAGAACCGCTGGTCTAGGGTATATCCCTGCTTACACGAAGAGTGGGGCAACACACCCCTCCGTCAGTAACCTAGAGACGTTGGTGGTAATTCCACGTTCCCATGGTGGGTGCCAGTCGATCCATAGCAATGACTATCTGTAATGTGGAACGAATTTCTATGGATGCCACATTTATTTGGAGACCAGCGTTCTAACCACAGCGCAACCTATCAGTGTATAGCGTTGCACATTCACGATTCACCTCGTGAACTAAAACAACGGACAAGACCGGTGGTGGAACGGAGACAACGTGTCCCGGGGGGGACTGCCGCCAAGATGGAGTGGTGGGTTCACGTGGAGGCGTGAGATGAGATGTGATCAACAGCACTCCCCCCGTAAGCCTGTTGAGGCTATACAGGCGATCGTTGCCTCTATTGCGATCAACTGATTGTAGTCTTAAGCTGAACTTAATGGTACAACACACGGGAGAGGAACTTTGTCGCAGAATAAAAATGCCGTTAAACATGTATAATGAACGCGTTGGCAGCCACGTGTCGCACGGGGTGGGTCAGGCTTTAGATTTGAGATAAATCTGCCGTTTTCTGGCCTCACCCTATGGTTTGTGTGGCTTAAATGGTGGCCTTTTGATGGCATCAACATTCCAAATTTGTTTCTGTCCATCCAATAAACTTATCCTGTCCCCACATTCCATACCTGTCAACCCCTTATCAGTGCCCTACCTTATTACACCAATTCAGACCTTATTGGTCACCCCGTGCCCTTGTAAATCTCAACGTTCATCCTGTCCCATCACAAGGGAGAAACGCAAACACATAGACACAATTTTAGTTGTATTGAAACGGTTGTACGCCGTGTGGACCTAAAAACTCAATTTCCCTTTACAAGAATACGGGTAAATCGTATGGGTTGACAGGTTATGATGAAATTACATTTGTCCCAAATCAGTGGTGCAGTTTGGTTGGTGACCACAATATATATTTATATATGTTACATTCAGCCATGTTGGATTGAGCATCGCCATGGCGACCACATGGCCATATCCAACCAATCACAGTGCTTGTTGCGTGTGAAACGACACGTGCAAAAAAAAAGTTTCAAGGCCACATGCAACTTTATTGACTCCACGCTGCAGCCCACGTTAAGCGCAGGATGTCAACATTGTCTTTTGGCAACGTTGCAAAGAAATTGCACCTTGTAACTGCAACTTTACGCCGCGGGCACTGAGACCTATCGGCAGATGAACGCTGCACAGGCATCTCGTCACCTCCGTGTTATAACTAAAAAACTTCCGCATTTACAAAACATTACCTACAACCACGCTGCCGTAAGCTTGTAATTGTCATGAGCAAATCTGATATGGTTAATGTTATCCATTTATATGTGTGCCTTTATTTTTCCAGTCAAGTTTTTGTTGTTGTTTAAACTTTGAATAGCTTTGGTCGAGGGGCGTTCTCTCGTCCAACGCGGCCTTCTGATTTGCTCTCTGTGACTTCAGTGTGAGCTGAAGTTATTTAACTTCGAAATTCAGTATGATTCCCATGTATGCCTTGGTTTTCGAGATCTTGGATAATTGTATTAAAGTGATCTCCATAAATTAAAGTGCAATTTTATGGTTTGCAAAGGCTAGGCACTTGGATATATATCGAATACATTACTCTTTGCTAAAATCTAATGTGTGCGGTCGATGGTAGAGAAACCGTTTCTTCATATAGTTCTCTGCTCGTGTGGTTGTTTGGCCTCTAAATGTTTTATTATGTTGCCAGTGGCGTTTGTGAACAATGTATGCACACGCGATAAGTAGCTCATAGAGCCGTAACCATTCACATCGTTTTTAGCGCCATTTTCGAACATAATTTAGGTATTTCACTTTTTGTGTAAACACGTATTAGTTATTATAACAATGGATTGAATTGATGACAGGAAAGCATTGAAGACACATAATTTTCATAAAAGTGCTGCAAAGTTGGTCTCAAGATGAATATGACCAAAATAAAAGACAAGTTACGCCAAGTTGCCGTAACAAATGAAGATCTTTGTGGAAGTGACACAACGGGGAAAGGACAGCTGGGGCAGTTGTGGAAGGTAGCCTAGAATAAAAATTGCGAAATAAAGAGTGTGTTTGGAGAATTTAGATGGATGATCAAATGCAAACTCCCAATGTGCAGACAGAGGAAAGTATTTGTATGTGTAGTGAGTTCTTTAAGACGGCATAGACGGATTATTGGAGGCAACACTTATTTATTACAAAGGACTTAACACCACACAACACAGTCCTTAGCTACACAGGGGTAACGGCCCCTGTACCCGCTGCCTGGAAGGGTATAGCCCCTCTTGTACGCGCCCTATTCCTGGCTAAGGTCTCGGGGTCCTCCGGCTACACGGCCCTAGGGGAGGCCAGTTTGACCTGGCCCAGCCAAGGCGCAGGTCTCAACCGCCGGCCACTCGGACCCGGCCCTGATAAGGACGTCAAGCTCCGAAGCTTCCAGGGTCGCACCACTGGCTCACTCTTCCCGTCACTGATAAGGACGGCGGGTCAGATGAGTCCCAGGGTCCTGGCTAGCCGGCCTTCTGTCTTCCACTGCCCAGACCCTCTCCGGCTCCTGCCTTTTATGCTGCTCTGTGGCTTGCTCCGGCCTAGCCACGCCTCCCTTCCCGAACCTTCTACCAGGTTCCGGAAGGGTGACATCATTCCCCAACAGCCCCCTATCTGGGGGCTGGCCCATTCGCTCCAGGATCCGATCTGGCCTTCAACTGTCAGCCTCTTGGCGAAACTCCCCAGATACTGGCTCAACCCGTTAACTGCCCCCTATAGGGAGGTAGTGGGTACTGACCGCAGATGGTGTACGTTCGCCTAATAACACCATTACATGACCCCCCCCCCCCCCCCCCCCCTTTTACAGCACGCAGCCGTCCCGGCTGCAACAATAACCTTCATAAAAAAAAGAAAACTCAAACTGCGTGTGCCTCAATAACAACAATAACAGGAAACCCCCGAATAAATACCCCAACCCATCTGTACAATGAACACTATGTACAAATATACACATCACTGCCACCAGCCCTGACCGAATGCACCCCGCACAAAATCGACGTATAATCCGCAGCGAGAAAACGAACACGTGAACAGGTAAGTGGTCGCCGCGACGAGCGTGTGGGTGCGATGGTTCCACGAAAAAAACCATCATGAAAAACGATGCAATTTAGCGCGAGTCCGAGTGGCTGGTCCATCGTAAGGGGCAGGGCTGGGTTGCCTGGTGGCGGATGCGGGCTGCCCCTGAGTGGACGAAGTGGGCTGCCTGGTTGCACACTCGCCATCGGGATTGGGCGGTGGGGGCGTCCGGGAAGCCATCAATTCTGAGGCATCTGAAGACGGGACAGTTAGTGGCAGGTGAGGATCAGGAGGTGGCACCACATTCTCAGAGTCAACGGACATATCACATGCTCGGCCCTTGTGGTATGTAGAAGAGGTACGTGGCACGACAAACGGTTTTAGACGCGAAGGGTGGATGTACTAACGGCGTTTTCCCTACCTAATCCGAACACTGCGGATGTACGACCTGGACAATTTCGACAGGCCCCTGCCACGGCCAAATCAGTTTGGGCGATGTCGCCAATGGCATCTGGGGGCAATGTAGCCAGGCCTTGTCGCCCGGGTTCCACCCATGTGTGTGTGACCGAAGCGCGCGCAGACGTTCATTCGCCTTCTGGCGAGAGTTCGAGTTTTGGATGGCGGCTTCCCGTGTCTCAGCCAATTTCAAAACGTTGAATTTAACGTGGTCAGCCAATTTTGACCATTTTTATAGTTAAAATCGCCAAATTTGCGGAGCTCCGCTGCAAATACAGGAAGAGACGAGAGGTGAGGCAGTGACGAGCTCAGCCTCCCCTCTGATTGCGCAACCCCTCAGTAACTGGATGGAACACGGGCAATAAGCGCGTGCCTGTTATATCTCAGTCTGTCACCAATGTAATGTTTGTAGACCCCTTCATTTCATGTCCTCGCCTTCCATACTTCAGGTAACTTATTTCACGTATGTGTATACATATATTTAGTCTCGCTGGTCTCGTCATGAAACTGCAATGAAAAAGCACCAGGGGAGGCAGCTATCACATCTGCCTCACTGAGGGGGACGTGTCTAACACGCCCCCCTCAGTGAGGACACGCCCCCCTCCGTGAGGCCACGCCCCCCTCAGTGTGTAAATCTGGCTCTAACACTAGCCAGTGCCTCCCCAGCCATTGACCTCACCGCACGTCACTGCTCTACATATGTATTTTGAACTTCTTTTGCATCGTACGTATTACACGTCGATCGGAAACACGGGCACTGCCAAATAAAACGTAACAAGGGCTGAAGAGTGCGCAGAGAATCGTGGAGAGATGCACGTGTCATATTGGTCACTACAATTGTCATCCAGGATGAATATTTCCAGGGCATACACTCCTTTCACCACCGATATGTTATTAAAAGATGGATTTTGCAACCGTGTTATCAGTGAAGCAATTCCGTAAAATTCGAAAATACTGTTAATCTTTATTTAGATTGGAGGAAATCCGATGAGCTATGAAGCTCTTTTTCACAGATGTCCAGTAGGGGCGGGTTCAGAATGTTACAACAACAAACAATAAAACAAAAACCGACGGAAGTGCAAAATAGAGAAAAAGGTAACATTTACAACCCCACGATTAAAAAAATAAAACTTCCAAAACCCACTCATTAATGTCGTGTCCATCATCGCAACCTCGATTCCTGACAACCCTGTGTGGCCCACAGAACCCTTAACATGCTCAGTAATGGTGCCTACATCATCAGCTGTGGACGGCTCCTCCAACAGATGACACCGGTGCAAATGATCGAGGCATCGTCCGCTTTTCACCGCAAACACAAGCACACCGTGCGTGTGCTGGGCCTGGTTGAGAATGCCCTACTTGCTGCGGTTTACTTTTCAGCAGCCAACACCGCCAGGCGCCGCCAAATTGGCTGTGGCTCGGCTGACCCTGGCGGAAGAGTTGCTCTGCTTCTCGACGTCTCGTCTTAGCAGTTCCTCGCTGTTGTGCGCTCCACAGTTGGAGCCCGCGTGCTCGCTGGAGATGAGCTGAGAGTCTACAGCATGGGACCCCCTTTGCCAGTACCAAAATATGATCATAGGGGTTTCCCCTTTTATCTGGCAACAAAACAGGTGTTAAGATGTTAAAACACCAAACTTAAACCTTTTACAAGGTTAAATTTCGATTTAAAGCTTTCGTGACTGCAGGGATTAATCTTCTTGGTTATTTCGGTAAAGTCACGTAGAAGGAAAATAATAAAATAATAAAAATTCAACAAAATATAATACAATTCTCACGACGTTTCGACCACAACGCAAGCAGTTGGTCTTCCTCATTACTCTGATAGTGCATTGTCTTTGGGCTGTACGCCTTTTGGCATTCTCTGGTCTAACACCGTTTGGAACGAGGCTAAAAAAAAAGGCTGTGTCTGGTGTGGACCGATCAGTTTCAAGGACAATACACATATCAGAGTATGTTTTTTGTTTGCATTCTGACCTACAAGCATTGTGGTTAATGAAGACATGATTCCTTGTAAAAGGTTTAAGTTTGGTGTTTTAACATCTAAACACCTGTTTTGTTGCCAGATAAAAGGGGAAACCCCTATTATCATGAGCTGAAAGATTCTGTGGTGGTGGAGATGAGCTGATAAATTTCGTGGTGGTGGTGGTGGTGGATATGAGCTGAGAGATTTCTTGGTGGTGGTGGAGATGACCTGATAGATTTCGTGGTGGTGGTATGTGTAATACTCTTACGTGATTTGAGTCGACTGGCAGCTGGTATATGCTGGTAGAGTGGTTGAGTGTTACACCGAGGAAGACAGAATTTGAGCAGTGAAGCCAGTTTTACGTCGATCATTGTGATACCGAGTCCGTGCTTCGCGTGCCTCTTACGTCTAGAGAAGGTGCACATTCGGGGTCTTCCTCGAAGTAGCGGTTGTTAGTTTTGTTAAAGTCTCCGTCAGGGTCATTACGACAAGGTGAAAGTCCTTGCATTGGGCTGTCACACAGAGGTCGTCCACGTAAATGAGACTAACGGTATCTGGGGTGGATTAGCTGAGCGTTGGTGTGGATGTTAAACAGTGATGGTGCAAGCTGGGTGGAAAGCGACTCTCTCTGCTTTACATCCAGTTCTACGAGTGCGGATGAGTCATCTCCGGCAGCTTAGTGAGTAGCCGTCGATGATTGGTGGAGTCGTCGGCTGCCCAGTTGGTCTACGGATACAGCTCCCATAGTCAAACCAATTCTCGAAACCATCCTCGGTGTGCCGCGCAAGGTTGAGCAGCTGGGTTGTGCACGGTTGACCTGGTCTCTGGGATCGACCTCTCATCCTTACTCGGTGCAATACGAATACACGACAGAGAACCAATCACAGCTCGGGTTTCCAGAGGTTTAGTCTCAAGATTCCCTCCTGAACTCACACGATTCAAATGTAAAATAAACCACAGGAGCAGGTACAGGTATGTATGGATGTTGCACTTCTTTCTCACCGTACATAACCAGCCGTGATAATTAGAGGTGCGGGGGAAGGACAACAATCTAAATACACAAACAGTTCTAAAGAAATTAATTTTCAACCGGGATAATTTAAAAGTGCATAGCTCCAGTGGCTTCGTAATATCGAAAGGAAGAGCCGTCCCAGACGGCCGCGGAAGCGCATCTAACAGCGTGTGATGCAGTGACCGCCTTAGTTCGATGGTTAGCCAAAAGCCGCTGCTGTGAGGATGACCCTATACAAACTCTGTTGCTTTTGTCTCGAACCGGGGGCCCACCAAAATAAACGATTCCAGGGCAAGGGGCCAGGCAAATAGAAGACAGGCAACTGGAGTTCGCACAGCACAAGGGACGATGCACGGTTTTCTAGGGGGTCAAAGGACAGCGAGACATCACGAGTCGGATCATCGTTGCCGGCAATATGAAGTAACTTGGTTAGGTTATTCCAAGACGTACTAAGGCCGAATAACCAACGATGAAAGTCCAGACTCCAAAGTCCAGTCGTGGAAGCCAGAGCGGATGTGGTTGACCCCTGCGCTCACAGGTCTCGGCTCAGGTCAAATCGGAGGAGGTGGGCGGAGGGGGCCGCGGGGTTGACTGTGATCGCAAACTCCCAGGGCACAGGCACAAGGTGAAGCGGTGCCGCAAGAGCTCCCAGACTGGCAGGTCTCGGCCACAAGCCGAGGAGGTCGCAATTTCGCAGGGAAAGAATGTCGTGGGCGAGCGGCGCTGCGCATCTCGCAGCGTCGCTCGAAGGTTGCAGGATAACTCCTCTCGGCAGGGCTACCGCGGCAACAATAACAACAACAACAATAACAACAATAACAATGCCGTTTGTTGCTGGGCCAAAAGTGCGCCGAGGCTCATCGGCCGCGATTAGTTTTTGTCTCCAAACAGAAAAACAACCGGGAGCGAATCCTCGCGCAGGAATGTCCCAATTGTAGCAGGACCCTCCTGAAAAAGGGGCAAAGGCCCTGAGACGCAACCGTGTCTTTGTTGGGCAAAATAGCGAAGACAGGCTAGATGTTTTTTCAGATGTTTAAAAAGCAAAAAACAACTTGCTCGACCTGCCAGGCCTCGTTTGGAGCAAGCGTCGCACACAGGGCTGGCACTGTGTCAGCTGGCACCACGCCGCGCGTGATGAATGAATTGCTTTCACGTGTGGCGGTGGAGGAGGAGTGAAACTCAGACTCAAAACCGCGACAACCTCGGCGCTAAGAGATCACAGAGCAGCCAGCACTGGCGTCGTCTCCTGCGCTCGCCCGACCGATCTCGCGGATCGCCATGTCGTCCCTGGTGGCCCTCGTCTGCTTGGCCGGACTGCTGATGTTGCTGCTCTACCTGTCCGGGGTGCGACGCAGGTGAGGTTGGCTCCATGACACCCCACACCCCCCCCCCCCCCCACAATGTGTATGTATCTATGTTGAACTTCTTTCACACCGGACGTAAACGAAAGTTGCGGGGGGGGGGGGAGATCGAAGGGGTTACTTAACGGCCTTTGCGATAACTTCACGGCAGCTTCTCAGATGTTTACGTGGGGGCGTACAAAGGTAAAGCGGAGGTTTCTGGTGGTGTTCATGCGAACACGTGTGTGGAGAGAGACTTTAACACGTAGGCTCTCGCGAGCAATATCATCTATAGGTTTTTTTTGGTTTAGATCGCGTAAATATATAAATGTGTCGTTAAAACCCGCCACCACCCGACACAGCCAACTAGTAAGGGTTGTTACGTAAACAGAACGTGCCAATTCGTCACTAGTACAGCACCACCGGTGTGTTGGAGAGCCAAGCCACAACATTTACAATCAGAGTATGACGTTTCGCCAGTAATTACGACTAGCTTCATCAGGCGACAGCCAGATTTGTGGAGAAGTCCACCTGTTTCGTTCCTTATATCAAGGCCGTAGTCATGGAGTCAACATTGGGGGGGACCAAATCTTCCAGGGGGTCTGGGGTCCCCCCCAGAAAAAAAAATCTAAATTTAAAAAAAATGTCTTGCCTAAAATATAAAAAAAGTTCACTAACACATGGGATGGACTTTTTATTTATGTTTTACAATAATGTCTAATAGTGTATTGTATTACATTGCTCTGTTTATTTCCTTTTTTACGTTTTCTTGTTTCATTGTATGTAATGGCAGAGATTATGGATTAATAAAGTTCCACCATAACCACAATCATATGAACAGAAATCTATGCATTGTTATATGAAGGCAAGTCCAGATATTGTGACCAAGGTTTATTCACAAGTAAATTTGGGTGGGCAGCAGAGACGTTTGCTCTGCTCTCCTATCTTCTCCTCGCCTGCCCTCTCTCCTCCTCTTCTCTGGTCCTAATTTCTCCTCTCTTCTCCAGTCATCTTTTTTCCTCTCCTCTGATCTGCAGTCATTTCTGCTCCTTTCCTCTGCTCTCCTCCCCTATCCTCTCATCTCCTCTCAAGGCAATGACACGTGTTTTGACTTGCCATTCTTCAAGCAAAGGATCCAAAGGCCTTTTTGCGCTTATCGTTGACACCGATAAAAGACCGGCATATTCCTTCAAGGTCCAGTCTGTCCAGTTTTTCCTGACGCACGTGACACATGGCCACATTATTCAGCCTTGTTTGACTCATCGAAGATCTAAGCCATGTCTTAAGCTTCCTCAGGACACTAAAACTTCTCTCAGCCTCTACAGGGGAGGCAGGGGCGATCAGCAGGCGTACTGAAGCTGCCACCTGACTGAAGAAACCTCTCACCTCTGGCACAATTTCCCTAATAATGCTCGCAACATCTCAGCTCGTTTGATCTATGTAATTAGCCCCAAACATGGCCAGCTGTACTTGCAGTAGTCTTGAATTCAATTCAGGATAGTAATAATAGTGGAAATTTGTTAAGTTTAGTTATGATTATGATTACATTTGCTCATTATTATTTCGGAAGGTGGTGCGTGGTTGCCTCTCGTAGCATAGCAATTATTTTTCCAAAATATTTTTCATATCAAAATATTGGGGGGGAGAATATTTTGAGCATATTTGAATATTGGGGGGGATGTGTCCCCCCTAATATATTATAATTACGGCCTTGCCTTACATAGAGGCGTAGATGTGGTGACCACGCAGCTGCGCTCTTGCGCCGAGTGGGTGGGGGGGGGGGGGTGATGACTGAGTAAACGTACAGCAGATCGCTTCGCTTCGCATTCTGTTTGGCGATTAACATTCAAGTTTATTTAACACGAGCTGGTTTGCCCGTCCTAGGACGGAAGCTGTAATATTTATTTAAAAAATATTGAGCAGAGTATAATTGTGTCTTGCGTAAATTTAATGGCAGTAAATCTTGCACGAAATTATGTCATCAAACACTTCACTGCATTTCACTGTAGCACTGTATTAATGGCAGTGATTCTGGCAAAAAAACTCTGTCATAAAACACCTAACTTTATGTCACTGTAGCACTTTACATAACTGACCTTCAATTTGTTCAAATTCACTGCTCTGATACTTTATTCTCTTCTGCTTTCAGTTGCTGGGGTTCAAATAAATTGGAATTCGATACAATGTCTGGAACATCACCGAGAAATGTCTATTTTACCACAATGTAGAAGCATAAAATAGACTTACATTTTGTCTCAAGTGCTGAAGAAATAAATAAAGACACCAAATCCACTTAGTTCGCTGCGTAGAATTATTTATTAGATTCACATTCACTAAAGAAACGTCAAACTTAAAGCGAATTTGCGAAAAAAAGTTATTTCCGCTCGACCTTCTGCGTGAGTATAAAAATCCACTCACTCATGAATATTAATGATGGGGGGGGGTGCATGTGGAGTGACGTCACGCGCGTTACACACAAACAGATATTCTTGGTTGCCGGTGTTCTACCCACCGCACCCTCAAAGTGTTGGGTGAACCCCCCACACCCCCCCACACCCCCACACCCCCCACACTCCCCCACTCCCCGCACACCCCCTCCCCCCCACACCCCCACTTTAAACGCTGCCATGCTATGGGGTTGGCAGGGAGGCGCCCAAGCCAGAGCCCCCACTCCCACTTCTCCATAGCCCTGCTCATCCTCTCCCCTGCTGCCCCCCCCCTAACCTGTATAGGCGACCAGGAGAGCACCCTCTGGTACGTGGGTGGATCCCCTATTTTGGAAAAACGTTCGAGTTTTCGCGAGACGGGCAGAGCTTCCTGAAGCGGCTGCAGGAGCAGCACGGCGACATCTTCACGGTGCTCATAGCGGGTGGGTGCCGGGAGTCGCACCGCCCGCCCGCACAGACGGTGCGGCGCAGACCGCGGCAGACGGGGCAGCGCCGTGGCAATATCCGACTCGCTGGCCACTGAAATTGAACTTCTTTCGCACCGTACGTAGCCAACCGCGCTCATCGGAGGTGCGGGGGGGGGGACAACAAACTAAACACAAAGAAGTATTTCTAAAGTGATGAGTCTTCAATGCAGATGATGTAAAAGTGCATAGCTCCAGTAGCTTGCTAATATCGGATTTAAGAGCTGTACCGAACGGCCGCAGAAGCGCATCTGAAAGCGCGCGATGCAGTGACCACAGTTCTTGTTCGATGGCCAGCCAGAAGCCGCTGCGAGGATAACCGGAATTGGTGTGATGGAGGGCTGGAGCTAGGGGGGTTTCTGGTGTGTGCCCTGCACGACCGAATGCGGATAACGCAAACAGCACTGGCTGTGGGTGGTTAATTTTGTTAGAGAAGGGCCCACAGAATAGGATATCAGAGAACAACTTCTGAGATCCCTGCAAGTGATCTCTAATCCACACGAATGGCCCAGCAATGCCCCACCCATCCTTAGCACGGCAATCAAACCGATGTTTTTACCTCTCAGAGATGGGTGAGTTGATGGTATTAGCCCAGTCACCAATTACTGCACAAAGCCATGATTATCATCATCATCAGTCCAGTGCTGGATGAAAGCCTCACCAAGCCACCACCACCACCTCTCATGAGACTGCGATGTACCAATGCACTCAGCACACGTAATAAATAATTGGTCTATTCCACTTGTTCCAGCGCGAGAATTACAAATGTTATTTTGATTGTCGTGTGTCCTTCCGCGGACCTCTGCGTGTACGAAGGTCGATACCTCACCTTCGTCATGGACCCTCACGTGTACCCAGTGATCGAGCGGCACGGCAAGCACCTGAACTTCCAAGCTTTCGCCATGCAGGTGTCGGCCGCCTGCTTCGGGCACCCGCGCTCCGATCACCCGACGCTTGGCGTGCCCACCGAGGAGATCACCAACAGCTACCGCTTCATGCAGGTGTCCTCCACTCAGTAGATGTCGACATAGAGCAGGTGTCATCTACTCAGTAGGCAGCCCACTCAATGGCTGATAATTATGACTTTTCAAGATGATATTAGAGCGATAAAATGAACGTCATCAAAGCGGGAACCAGAGCAGTAACTCGGCTGTGTGTTTGTTTCGTCTCTGCAGGGCTCAGAGCTGCAATCCATGATTGAGAGCACAACAAAGCACTTGCACAGGGTGATCATTCGCAGTGTCCAGGATGCCAAGGATGCCATTTCGGGTGTCAGAAACTGCAACGGCACCAACGGATGGAAGACCGGGAGCCTGAATGAGTTCTGCTTGGCAACGACCTTCGAAGCGGTGTGGGTGACCCTGTTTGGCTCCACCAACGTGGACTGGCTCGACCACGAATTTTCCACCAAGCTGCTGGAGCACTTTGTCCCGTACGACAAGGCGGTGCCCCTGCTGGCTGCCAACGTCCCCATCTCCCTGCTCCGCTCGAGCAGGCACCACCGGGCGCAGCTTGCCACCCTCCTCACGCCCCCGTGTCTGTCCCGCCTCAAGGACTGCTCCTCCGTCGTGGCGGCACGGACGGAGGTCATCAACTCCAACGGAAACCTCAACGACCACCAGAAGGCCGGTGAGCCTGCACGGCGGTGGCGACGACGGGCAGACGAAGCGGCCGCTTAGGGGACCTCTGGCAGCTGAAGGGGTTTCCAGATCCCCTTGAGCTGATAGGGGGTAACAAAAATACAGGCTCATATTCAAATCGTAATCGACGTAACACACCGATTGGCAAACAAAAACTCCTGATGATGCTGGTTGTTTCAATTGTCGGCGAAACGTCGTTAATTCTAAATTGAAAACCCTGTGGGGTTTTTCTCTAACTAATTGCCACGTTCTGTTCACTTGACAAACCTCACTGATTGGCTGTGTCCGGGTGGAGATGGGTGTATGGCCCAATTTGCATTCACGTGATCTAACCTTCATCATGAAGCTTCTTCATCTGTACCGTCTCGTGTCACCACTTTTTATATCTCCACTTCTCTCACGCCACCCATCCTTCTGTCTCTCGTCTGTATCCGTTATTTCGGCTCACCACATCGCCATCCCTTGTCTAGATCTCTTCTCTGATCTCACTGGGAGTTTATAAATACAAATGGGTGGCCCACCAAATGTGATTTTCTTCTTAAGGGCCCCCAATGGGCCATTACCACTGCTGCTTGTTGGTTTGGTGTCAGTTGCCTCTATTGTTTGTTTGGGGCTGGTTTTGTGCCGGGACTTGGCCGGGCTGGATTGCCATCGTGTCATATTTGGTGGAGGACCATGCAAACCTACGGTGGTTCACAAATTATGTTTACCAAAGTTGTCACGAATATTGTTTTCTTTTGTTTAAGGGCCACAGTGTTAATTGTGCTTGTGTACCCACTGCCAACGCAGCAGCAGCGTCACCAAATAACGTGTTTAATTTAAATTCATGAATCACCGTACGGCTCATCGGGGCTTAAATTCAGCCGGTCTGCCCCGTTCCACAACCTGGCGCACCACATCCACCGTGCGTCCCTCTCGCTATGGATGCGGCTCGCGAGTCAGAGACGCCTGCTCGAGTTGCCAGCGCGCGCAAGAAAATATTCGGTGAGAAATCACCCCCCCCCCCCCCCCCGCACCGAACTTGTACGGCAGCATTCCGATCGATGGCCCTGCCGCTCCACTGCTGCCCCCCCCCCCCCAGCCTACCAGCTGCACTTCCTGTGGGGCTCCATGTCGAACACATTGCAGAGCATCTTCTGGAGCATCTACCACCTGCTGCTGCATCCGGACGCGCAGCGTGCCGTGAAGGCCGAGGTGACCGCCTTCCTGGAGGAGACCGGCCAGAGCCCTCGGCTCGGCTCCCCACTGCGCCTCGGCTGCCACCAGTTGGACTCTATGGTCGCCCTGGGTGGGTCTGCCGTGGCATCGCGAGCGAGCGGGCAGAATCGAAGAGCGAGCAGTGAGACAGAACGTTGGGTTGTCGGATTCCGGAGGCGAGGTTAGGGGGTCAGCAGATGGGGACGGCTCGTGATACTATGTATTTATGTACGTATGGTGAACTTCTCTCACACCTTACGTAGTCAACCGTGCTCGATGGAGTGGTGAGGAAGGGCGGGACACTAAACACAAAAAGCAGTTAGAAGGCAATGAGTTTCTCAATCTAGATGGTGACTTAAAAGTGCATCGCTCCAGTGGCTCCCTAATATCGGAAGGTGAGAGCGTTCCAGACGGCCGCATAAACGCATCTGGTGACCGTCATTGTCCGATTGTTTGCCAAGAACCGTCACTGCTGCGAGGATGACCGGAGTTTGCGTGACGGTGGTTTATGCTTCTTGACGAGATCAGCGAGGTATCGTGGCCCATTTGTGGCAGGCACTTTGTGTGTAATGAGTGCGTTAGATGGCGAGTTCGATCCTCATTGAAAGGGAAACGTTTCGTCTTTATCGGACCCTCACCTGATGAAAAGCAAGGACTGCTATTGAATATTTGTTACCGTCGTGAAATGGTTAGCAAAGTGGACTTGCAATCCAGAAAGGTCACCGGTTTGATCTCCCAAGCGTGGGAGTTAAATTCACGGTGCGAGTTTCTTACCTCGCACCGATCAGTGCACTCCAGTCGATCGTGTCGTACGGTGGGGTAAAGCGTGGGTACTCCTGCTTCTGAGATGCCTGGCCGGTAGACCAACAATACCTCCTGAAGGGGCTCTCTGGCGGCCCACTCGCCTGCAGTGGCAGTGAGAAAACAATTGCAGGGCTAAGTCTTTACAAGCGTTCACGCGTGTCAGATTTTGGTCATGTGCATTTGGATTTTGGCAACTTATGCCACGGCCTTAAAGTCACGAGAATTCTCGCGCGGTTACGACGCGCGGTTGCGACGGAGCGAGCAGGCAGCGCAGTGACCGAGAGCCTCCGTCTGACCGCCTCCACGCTCACGATCCGCGTCGCCCAGAAGGACATCGCCATGCCGCTGCCGAACCACGGGACCCTGCGCCTCCGCCAGGGCGACTGGCTCACGCTGCCACCCTACACCTCGCTGCACTTGAACCCCGACGTCTTCCAAGAGCCCCAGGTCACGGGGGTCAGGGGTCACTGCGCCGCACACCTTTGCCATTCATCGACTCTCCCGTCTCATCCATGCCGCGATCGCCCACCGCACTGCGAGTGGCCGCACTTTTAGTCGCCGCATTTCTCTTTCTGCTTCTTTCCTCGCACTTCTGCACTTTGGATCGCCCAGAACTTAGAGGTCCGCTACGGTCACTCTCGCTGATTCATCCACTCCTTTACCGCTACTACCACAGTCGTGGTTCCTTTACAACCTCGTGCCTTGTTACCTCCACCAGTGATGGCTCGAAGCGGTGAAAATTTCCTGGACAAATAATAGATGTTATTATTATTCTTGTTTACTGAAAACTTCGAATGATTCAGCGAGTTCACAGCCGATTAGAGCAAAGGCGTGCCTACTCACGAGTCATGTGCAAGGATGAGAGGGAGATACATAGTTCTTGGCCCAAAATCAACTTGTCAGGAGGACCCAGTGGGGCAAAAGTTCACGCACATTTTCTTTCAAGAATGTCATCTCTAGATCGCACGTCTCTACGATAGCAAAAGTCACCGCGTTAGCACGTTAGGTGAAATATGTTGTCAAAGAAGAGTACCCGAAGCGTTTGATGGAAAATATTGTTGTGTAACGAATGACTGAACCTGCGTTCCTACGGCAACTCTCATCACGGATGCCCCCTATTGGCGGCCTGTCCCTGTGCTGGCTCGGCGGTGGTGGGCATCGTTGTTGACGAGTCGTAGCGCAATGATTTCCACGTGGGTAATATTTTTAATGTGTGCAAAAAACATTTTCTTACCGAAGTTTTCATTTGAACGCTTTTTCTTTTTGTTATGTTGTTATGGGGTCGAACCCAGAGAAGCCGGAGGAAACCCCATGCAGAGCGGAGGGAAAGAACGTACTCGCTCTATGGAGAAAGGCGCCCGGGTTGGGAGTCAAACCGAGGCCCCTTCTTGCTTCCAGACAAAAGCGTTATCACTGCTCCACCCCACAAATTACGAAGTGCTCCGCAACGTATACCTGTGCAGAATATTAAAAATAAATATTAATATTACTATATGCTCAGCATTTGCCAACCCAAGTGGTTACCGACCCAACCAGCTTGGCTCACGGTCCCGGATGCATTGCAACATCCGGGCGTGTGTGGGAAGAGACGGCGGAGGGATTGCTTTGTTCGAAGTGAGATTCCAGTTGAGAAGTAAAAAAAAAACATTTGGCCCAACAGAAAAGGTAGAATGCATGTTTACCTTGGTAGTTGCTGATGCGGAGAATACAAATGTTGTGGGAAACACCTTATCTTTCCCAAACTCCTGCGGGCCGGGCCCTGGTATTTGCACGACTTGAAGTTGATTTGGTGCCAGGCATGAGTAAACGTGTCTGGGTGGATCAGAATTGAATGAGAAACCGTGCATGTATGGCATTATGCCTGCAATGCAGCACTTTGTAGTAGGCAGGGCGAGGTGGTAGGGCAGGGTTACCACATCTGAGGTGCGGGACAAAGACGGCACAGAACGAGGCAAAGAATCTCACAATGCCAGCAGCGGGGGAGACTGCACGCAAATGCATTGTCTTCAGTGGTTGCATTATCACGCAGCTGACAAAAAACGGGGACGTTGATTGTCCCAGAGAGACTTCGCAAAATTTCCCAGGATGCAGCTGCCTCACCGAGAGAGCAAAGTCCTCGTGGGTGCATTCCACGCCTTGGCTGCCACTCCGGCATTGTTCGTGACCGCCTGGATATGGGCAGAGACCAACACTGGGCTTGTCCGCAACCTCATAAAGGTCCTCTTATATCAAATCTAACAATTCCCGAAAGGTTCACTCCAAGGCCGTAGCCATGGAGTCAACATTGGGGGGGGACCTAAATCTTCCAGGGGGTCTGGGGTTCCCCCCCCCCCCCCCAGAAAAAAAATCTAAATTTGAAAACTAATTTCCTGCCTAAAATAGATAAAAATTCACTAACACATAGGATAGACTTTTTTTAACACTGATGTCTAATAGTGTATTGTATTACGTGGCTCTGTTTTTTTTCTTTTTTTTACCTTTTCTTGTTTTATTGTTTTATTGTATGTAATGGCAGAGATTAGGGATTCATAAAGTACAACCATAACCACAATCATATAAACACAAATCTATTTAATAGCAATATATTGGGGGGGGGGGGGGACATTTTGAGCATATTTTAATATTGGCGGGGGGGGGGATGTGTCCTCCCCCCCGCCAATATAGATTATAATTACGGCCTTGGTTCACTCCCTCCCTCGAACTCCCTCCCGTAAGCTCACAAGTGCCTCCTTATTCCTACTAAACATTCTATCTGTTAAGACTTTGGTATATAAATATAAATGTATATTTCCACCTTGCTGCTCCACGTTTTTTCCTGAAATCCCCCCCTTGCCACTCATCGTCAGCTCGGCTCCCTGCGTCCACTTTCCCCTCTTGACTTCCCCGTATAGTCGGCGGCGCTTCTCTCTCCGTGTCGGGGTAGTCAGTCGTCTTCGTCAGCGTTGCCCAAAACACGCGCACACACACAATCACCAAAACACATTTTGGGCGAACATTTCCATCGCCAATTTTGTCAAAGGGAAACTAACACCCCATGCCTCGCTTCACCTCCCTGCCTGCCCCCCTCTCTCTCTCTCTCTCGCCAACACGCAGACCTACAAGTACGACCGCTTCATGGAGGGAGGCAAACCGCGCAAGACCTTCTACAAGGACGGGCGGCCCCTGCGCCACGCGCTCATGCCGTTCGGCTTCGGCGCCACCAAGTGCCCTGGTCGCTTCTTCGCGCTGCTCGTGGACAAGGTCTTCCTGGCGCTGCTCCTCAGCCACGTGGAGATGGAGCTGTGCCCCGGCCAGGTGCCCGTGGAGGCCGACGTGAGCCGGGGCCCGTTTGGGGTCCTCCCTCCGAAGAACGACGTTCAGTTCAGATACCGTCTGCGGCCGGGGCTGGCTGAGTGATGCCCACACGCGCGCGTGTCTGTGCGTGTCTGCGTGTGCGGAGTGGGGAGTGGTGGTGCAGCGGTTAGCGCTGCGCTGCACTACGAAACCCAGCAAACTCGAGTTCGGTTCCCGCTCACGGCCTACACCAGTGACGATTATATGAACCGGTCCTGGGACTCCCCCTAGGTGGACTCGGCATCAAATGAATACCCGGTGCGATGTAAACATCACAGCTAGGGAGACAAAAGCGGCCGAGCGTGGTGCTGGCCACCCACCCCCTCGTGTGCCGTGCCGGCCTTCATCGGTGCTACTCGCTAACAGCACTTGCCCCTACAGTCTGTTAAAAGCTATACGGGGGATCTTTGTCTTTTGAGCGCGCGTGTGTGGGAGTCGTGAAGCAGCGGTCTGTGCTCTGAGCTTGCCTCAATGGCCACCTGATTTCAGTTCACGGCCATGGCTCGCATCAGCGTCGAGTGATAACCACTATCAGGGCGCCCATCGGCACTGGGGAGATATATCATTGACCTCGCCACACCGCCCTCTCTTGCCCCACGGCAGCCTTAATAGGTGCTCGTCAACAATTACTCCCCCCAAACAGTATATGTGCAGGCTACTTGGGAGATCTTTATTCTTTCCGTGTAAGCATGTGTTGATGTGTCAGTTGGCTTCGGTGTGTCATGGTGGGTCGTTGTGAGTATTGCAGTTTGTACGAACGTGTTCGTGTGTATCGGTGTGTATTCATGTGCCGGTGTGCATTGGTGTGTCAGTGTGTGCGTCTATGTGTGTTGTTAATATGTGAATGTGTATCATTGGGTGTCAATACACATTTTATTTTATTTCACCAGGTAAGGCCCACTGAGCTAATATAGCTCGTTTTTAGAAGCGACCTGGCCACAAATGATCGATCAACGAAGTGGCTTATCATCATGTGGAAATTTACAGCAGCCAAATGCTCTAAACGCACGTTTCTAAACATTTAAAAACGTGTGTACTTGTAATTCGAAGGCAGGTGGTGTGACCAGTACGGGGGGCCCATCTATCCCAGCACTGATGTCCACACAGCATAACGAGGCGATCCTGAACAGGTCCCGATGCCCTGTGCCACCGTTGTTTTCCATGGGCTAGAATCGAACTCAGCTTTCTGGGATCATAACGTATGTGGTCCAGTTCACTACTGAACTGTCATAACAGAAGAAATATCAGTGGGACATTGCCCCTTGATGTAGAGCGTCGTCATTAGGTTTAATAAAGCTGGGCTTCATTCCGCACTCATTTTCAGGGATGCTAATAGTCTGGCTTGGTGTAGGGATTGGCGGCATAAGGCACTACCACTACCATACAAGGTAGACCTATACATAATAACCCATTGTTATAATCCTTTGTGAATGTACCGTCGAGTCCGATCATCGTATGAAGGGGCTTGTGACACGAGGGGCGCTCTTGAGCTACCTCTGGCGAAGACACCTTCCGCCAGCAGTGCTTGGGAGGAGACAATTGCAGGGCTGCTCCTTGACCTGTCCATTGGCCAACTCTGTATTAATTTTTTATTATTAATCTATATATATTTTAATATTCTGCTTTCTCCCCCCCCCCCCAACCATAATCATATTCTTCATTTATATTTCCCAGCAATTGTGTTTTATTTGTTTCATAGTCGTTATGTTCACTCGTTCAAGGTGGGGTATTGTTCGTGTCTGTGAGTAGCTTCATGGTGCTCTGATTCTTGCGGTGTTGTACCACACCGATACCAATAAATGGTATTCTCGTCACTAGGAGATGCCTGTCCATTCAACTGCCATCTCCATCCTGCACGCTTTCTACACATCAGCCGATTGTTTTTCATCACTCCATCTCCACAGTGGTCGCGTCTCTTAGCAATGCCCCACTCCTGCTGCAAGAGCCACCCACCCTGTGGACATACACCTTAACCAACCCACTTCGCCGTCAATAATACTCGTCATGAGAACCTAATGTCATAGGTTACATTGTCAAAGGGGCCGTCGATAAATGACGTCACGCACCTAGGGGGGGTGGGTCAGACATTTGTGACGATGTGTGACGAGGGGGGGGGGGGTTGAGAAATGTGACGTCACATAAAAATGCGCAACAATAAATAAATAAAGACAACACGTTCTACTTAATTAAATAGACTTAATGATAAATGTTTTCTCTTACAACATCAGAGTGCAGCGGCACATTAAATACGCACTACAATGACAATAGTTTAAAGAGATTTGAAGCATGTTTTATATATATTTGTTGGGGGAGGCAGAGTTTTGTGACGTAATATTTTTTGGGGAGGGGGGTCTGACTTTTTGTGACGCCGTGTAACGAGGGGGGGGGGGGTCAAAAATCGTCCAAAATCGCGTGACGTCATTTATGGACGGCCCCAAAGGTCAAATTGCATCTCAACGCTGAACATCGCAAATCACATGAACATGAACTACGGGATGAGAACAGCAGACGCCTATCACGCCCCAGGGTACGGAGGTGAACGCTCAGTGTCGCCCCAACCCACGGTGATGAGTCAATCTCGCGGCGACCCCACAGCGCTCACAAACTCCCACCCAGAGTCGCTCTCACGTTCAAACTAAAGTCTCCACACGCGCAGTAGCGCGAGAGGGCGGCAGAGCGACGCGTTACAACGCCCGTTGCATCTCTCTCATGGAGAAAGCGGCTCATCATCATCATCCTCCTGCTCCTCCTCGTGTGTGCCATCGCCGCCGTACAGATGCTGCGGTCTAAGTCCACCCTGGCACGGTGTGAACGTCGTCGGCGTTTAACGACGGCATCACATCCACGAATAACTTTGGAAGACTTGCACAGGTCTCATCCACTTTGGACTCGCGAAAATCACACTGACGACTCTCACACTGGACCGAGGAAGTATCAGCACAAGAGACGCGATGGCTGGAGGGGAGTAGAATGAGATGAGAGGGGAGAGGTAGGAGAGTGCGTGGAGGGGAGTAGAGTGAGATGAGAGGGAGAGGTAGGAGAGTGCGTTGGGGGGGGGGGGGCGGAGTAGAGTGAGATGAGAGGGGAGAGGTAGGAGAGTGCGTGGGGGGGGGGGGAGTAGAGTGAGATGAGAGGGGAGAGGTAGGAGAATGCGTGGGGGGGGGGGTGAGATGAGAGGGGAGAGGTAGGAGAGTGCGTGGGGGGGGGGGAATAGAGTGAGATGGGAGGGGAGAGGTAGGAGAGGGCGAGAAGAGAGGGGAGACGGGTAGAATGAAGTCCATGGAGGATATTGAGGACGGCGAGTGTGATCCTATCGTCATTGGATAAATCACTGCTGGATGAGAATCCCCACGCAGTGTGGGTTGGTGACACGGGGGGGGGGAGGGGTGCAGTCCACCACCGCAAGCTCCTACGGCAACCTCTTTGTGCCCGGTTGGGCCACCCATCCAACTCGTATCCAGACTCACAATCCCTGCCTGAGCTTCCGCGATCGGGCGCATTACGAGGTCAGCTCCCACCTGCACTGCGCTCTCACCTGATGCAGTATCAATTTACTTATCCAGACAAGCTCCAGTCTCCAGCTAGTCTATGTTTGCTTGCTCAGGAAGGGGGCCCTGCATCGGGATGCTTGGCCACGTTCCTGTTGAAATGAGGAGTGGTGAACCAGGAAAGACGACGTCACAATCAGCCGTGCTCATTCCACTGCTGGATGAAGCCTCCACACCCCCCCTCCCCCATCTCTCGCGACCCTCACACCCATCGGTCACTCACAAACCCCGCCGCCGTTCGTCAATGGGGCACGACGATCACAGCGGTCCGCACAGATGGGTTCACGAACCCGCGTGCACCCCCCGTGGCGATCTCCGCAGCCCAGCCGGTTTTGGGAGTCTCAACAGATCTCTTCGTGATCCGCCAACCCTTTGCTGGTTTAAATGTTTGATGCCACGCTGGTCGCCGCAAGAGGGCGCTAATTCTCACCGCCGCCACTGCCACCAACGCGCGGGGTGGGCTGGGAGCGTGGCGCCCCTCGTGGCCGCGACTGGACAAGGCAAGCGGGTCAACAGAGTCGCGTGTGGGGAGCGGTGGCGGAGCGGTTAGCGCGCTGCGCGACTGAAACCCGATCCCTCCACCTCGATTTCCCTCTCACGGCCAACACCGTCAGTGACGATTATCTGAACCGATCCTGGGCCTCCCCTAGGTCAATTCGGCCTCAATTGACTATCTGGTACGATGTGCAAACGTCGCCGCTAGGGAGACAAAGGCGGCCGGGATTGGTGCTGGTCACCCGCCGCCTCGTGTGCCGTGTTGGCTGTCATCGGTGCCCCAACGGTCTGTTAAGGCCAGATGGGGGGGGGGGGGATCTTTGTCTTTGTAGTTTCATTTGGATTCTAAGGGAGGGGGCAATGAGCGGTGGCGCAGTGGTTAAAGCACTGCGCTTTAAACCCGGCGACCCGCATTCGACCTCCTGTCACGGCTAACATCAGTGGCGAGTGAAACCTGAACCGGTCCTGGGCACCCCCGACGTCTTGCCCCGCCACCAACCCGCACTGACCAGCGTGGGGAAGTATGGTCAAACAACTAAAATGGCCGGCATTGTGTGGGAAGGTCTTTATCCAGCAGTGGATTGGCAAAGTTCCGTCCAATTAGCGCGGTTGGCTATGCAGAGTGCGAAAGAGATGCAACACATTGTACATACATTTATTGAGGATAACGACTATAACGAGACGGCACAAGTGAGTCAGATTATATCGTTTAGAGAGTCAGAACAACAACATTAACAAGCCAGACGACACTAACGACCCAGACGACAGAAACGAGTCTAAGGATGCAAACGAGACAGACACTACAAACGAGTCAGATGACACAAACGAGTCAGACGACACAAACGAGTCAGACGACACAAACGAGTCAGACAATACAAACGAGTCAGACGACACAAACGAGTCAGACAATACAAACGAGTCAGACGATACAAACGATCCAGACAATATAAACGAGTCAGACAATACAAACGATCCAGACAATACAAACGATCCAGACAATACAAACGAGTCAGACGACACAAACGAGCCAGACAATACAAACGAGTCAGAC